GAAGGGGGAAGCGCCTCAAGGAGTTCTAAGACATCGTCCTGAATGATGTTCAGCATCTGAGTGAACTGGGAGAAGATAACTATCCTGTGGCCTCGAGCCCTCAGGCCCACAAGCAGGCGGTCCAGCAGAGCGAGCTTGCCGCTCGCCGCCACCAAGGCCTCGCAGGACGGCTGCTGCGGATCCTCCGCGCCGTCGAACAGGTATGGATGGTTGCAGGCTTTCCGCAGCTGCGCTACGAGGGAGACAAGCTTCTTGTACTTGCCGGGGCCACGCACATCGCCCTGCTCGATTTGACTGAGCAGAAGGGCGTCTTTCACCAGCAGCCTCCTGTACCAGAACAGCTGCATCGGCGACAGCGGGCAATTGACACGGACCTCATACTTGGGTGGCAAGCCCTTCTCCACGTCTACCTTCAGGCGACGCACCATGAGGACGCTCAGCAAGCGCCTCACATCGTCCAACGCCTGCTTGTCCGTGCTCCGCTCAGTCTTCTCGTAGGCCTGCACGAAGCGATCCAGCGAGAACATGCCAGGGTTGAGGAACTCGAGCAGCGCGTGCAGCTCCTCCAGATTGTTCTGAACGGGTGTTCCGGTTAAGACAAGCCGAAAGTCGGAACGCAAAGCGCGAAGGTCCCTGGTGACCACAGCGGCCTCGTTCTTGATCACCTGCCCCTCGTCTGCCACGACCGCGCGGAACACCAACCGACTGAGCACGCGTCTCCACCGCTTGCTCTTCACAACGTCGTACGTGGTCACCATCACGTCTATGCCTCCTCCTGTCATCTGTTTCCGGAGCCGCAAGCACTCCTCATCAGTGTATGAATGCACCTTCAAAAACGTCATCTCGGGTGCCCAACGACGCAGCTCACTGCACCAACCGTCCAGCACGGACAAAGGACACACAACTAAATATGGCCCTGGCAGGTCACGGCTGAAACGCAGATGAGCAAGGAAAACAATTGTTTGCAAAGTCTTTCCAAGCCCCATCTCGTCACCAATGATGACGCCCACTCCGTGGTCGAAGGAATGTGCGAGGAAGGCCACCGACTCAAGCTGATAATCGCGCATCGCCCCTGCGGGCACCACCTGCATCGGCTGCTGCAGAGGCTCTATCTCCAACACTGCCGAGGTCTGCGCAACGCGACCGTCCACCAGGAACGGCCGCAGCGCGTCCGCGTTGGCAGAGAGGAACTCACGCTGCCTCGATGCCTTCCCTGCCTTCGCGGCCAGGATCGCCTCTGGGAGGACGCCGACTGCGCGTACACCCATACCGATCTTGGCCAGGCCCACCCAGTGCCAAATATCGGTGCACATGCTCCTCCTGGCCTGGCCAGAAAGGCAAGCACACCGACCTTGGACCTGAGATCGGCCCAGCCAGGAGCGGTGTACAGTCGCCGCGCTGCCATAAGGAACACTGTGCAAGGAGCAACGGAGTGGCTTCTCTGGTCACGGCGAGCCTCGGCCACGAATAGGTTCCCCGACCGGGATCGCAGGCATGGCCCGCAAACCGGAGCCCCGGAGCCCACGGTGGACCTTATTTCAGCGTCGTGGCTGTAGGTGCACGGCTGGCGCAATCCGAGCCTCGTTGCGCTCGCGCAGCGCAGTCGGAGCCTCCCGGAGCGCCTCCGAGGCCGCCGTGGACACGGACACGATCTTCTTCAGCCGCCGCGGCCGCTTCAGCGGCGGCCCCGCGTCCCCCGACGAGACCGAAGATTCCGAGTCGGCGTCGGAGAGAGGCACCTCTGGCGCCTCGCAGAGGGTGCCGAGCGAGGGGAGCCAGCCTTCCTGCGCACTCGACGCACTCCACCACGGACCCCTTGCTGCCCATCGGCGCTGGGCGGTCTCGGGAGGTCTTCTGACGGTCTGCGGCAGCCTTCGGCGGTCTCTGGCGGTCCGGCAGTTTCCAGAGGTCTCCAGCGGGCCTCTGGTGGTCTTCGACGCCAATGCTGGATGGTTGCGTTGAGCCATGGACCCATTAGCGAACACCCAAAGCCTTCCAGAAAGGAAGATGATTTCTTAGAAAAGGTCCTCCCCTTCGTTTCAACGCTTCTCAGAGGGCTTCTCCCAAAAGACAGGAGGGCTTTTGAGAGGCGGGACGCCTTCTTGGAGGGCCGCCCCCGATGCCCGCTCCCTTCTGCGCGCGGCCGATACGCGCGGAGGGCACGCGCACGTAGAGACCGAGGAAGACCCTGGCCTCCGGCGCCGTGTGCTCTTTTCGGGGGCGGGCAAGCAATTCTTGGTCGCAGCGGCGGGTCCTCAACGCATTCGGGGGCAGCCGTGGGATGCAGCGGGGCCGAAGGGGGCACAGCAGGCACACGGGGGGGGGGGACGAAGCGCGCAGAAAGGGAGTGAAGAGCACGTTCGGAGCGTAAAGCTCTCGAGCGTGTGTGCTCTGGAGCACGTGCGGGGGGTGGGCAGAACACCCTGCAGCAAGACGCCCGTGTGTGGAAGCTTCCAGAGGCACTCCACGAGCACACGGCACCGCATTTCGAGTGGGGCTGTGCGGGATAGCTAGCCGACGTCCGAAAACAAGCGGGTGTATCTGACAAAACACGCACGCCGACTGGCGAAACCGACTGGGGACTGCACCAGCACACTCGAATGCCCATGTCGAGTGGACCAGGGCAGATTTCCTCAGCCGACTGGTCTGGGTGGGCGTTCTCCCAAAGCCGACCTTTCAACACCAGGGACCCTGGAGCTGTCTCTCTGGGACGCACTGCCCGGGTCAGCCCAAAGCCGGATCCGGCCACGGCAGTCGCGAAGCCTGGCCCGCCGCGCGGTAGCTCCCAAGCACGGGTCAGCGGGATTGGCTGACCCCAGTCAGCGCTGATGATGTCGACGGTGACGACGACGACGACAACAACGACGACGACGACGACGACGACGACGACGACGGCGACGACGACGACGACGACGGCGGCGGCGGCGGCGGCGACGACGACAACAATGCTGACGGATGACGACGGTGGCAATGATGCCACTACCGATGGTGACGATAGTGTTCGTGAGGATGAGGAAGTACGCGCACGCAGAAATTTCCGAACTCTGACAAAGTTGTAATTGAAACGCAAGTGAGTTTTCATGTGGGTGTGAACACGCAGACGTCTGCGCTGAAATGCTTCGAAAACGTACCGGTTCGGGAATATGTTCGACGTGCGGGCGAGGGGATGTGCGCGCGTGTGGCCCCGAGAGGCCCTCAAGAGGCCCCAAGACACCCCTAAACCGCCTCCAAGACTTCCGAGAGGCCTGCCCAGAGTTTCCAACAGGCATCCAAGAGGCCTCTGACCTGCAACCCAGGCACGGCGGCGGGTTGGGCCGGAGGCCACCATAGCAGAAGTATCCGCCGCCCCCTTTTGCTTTAGCAAAGGGGCGCCTGGCGTGCTGGACCCTCTCGGTTTTGGTTTTGGCTCGTTTTCCAAAAAGAATCGAAGACGCCTACGGCGAATCACCGCCGCCCCCTGCCTTTTTTGAAGCGCCTGCCAAGCTATCGGACCATGTGTTCCCCGAATCGGTTTGGAAAGCCTTCGGGGAACACGTGGGCATCTTGAAGGTCATCTTGGCCGTCTGGAGGCCATTTTGACCCTTTCGGGCCTTCTTGGAGGACGTCTTGGAGGGCTCTTGGGCCGTCTTGGAGGCCATCTTGGGCCGTCTTGGGGGCTTCTTGGGGCCGTGTCTTGGGCCTCTTGGGCGATCTTTGGGGGCACTTGGGCCGTCTCGGGCCGTCGGAAGGCAGAAAAAATGCAAATGTCACAATCCTTCAAAAACCCATGGGATGTTGGCCTTTTCGGGCCTTCCTGGGGGCCCTCTTGGAGGCCTCTTGAGCCGTCTTGGGCCATCTTAGGGCCATGTTCGGCCGTCTTGGTGGGCTCCTGGTCCGCCTGACGCCGTCGGACGCCGTTTGGGGGGCCTCTCTGAGCCGACTGGTGGCCCTCTTGGAATGCTCAAGGGCCGTCTTGGAGGCCATCTTGGGCTTCTTGGAGGCCTCCTGTGCCATCTTGGGGGCCTCTTGGGGCCGTCTTGGGGCCCTCTTGGGCCGTTCTGGGGCCATCTTGGAGGCCTCTTGGGCGATCTTTCGGCGATCTTTGGGGGCTCTTGGGCCGTCTCGGGCCGTCGGAAGGCCGAAAAGAAGCAAATGTCAAAATCCGTCAAAAACATAAGGAAATTCAATGTTTTTTGGCATCTTCTGGCCTTCCTGGAGGCCCTCTTGGGGGCCTCTTGGGCCGTCTTGGGCTAGCTTCGAGCCAACTTCGGCCATCTTGGTAGGTTCCTGGCACGTCTGACGCCGTCGGGAGCCGTCTTGGGGGCCTTTCTGGGCCAACGGGGGACCCTCTTGGGGCGGTTCGGGGCCGTCTTGGAGGCCATCTTGGGCGTCTTGGAGGCCATCTTGGGCGTGTTGGGGCCTCTTGGGGCCATCTTGAAGGCCACTTGGGCCGTCATGGGGCCCTCTTGGGGGCCTCGTGGGCGATCTTGGGGGCCTCTTGGGCCGTCTTGAGCCGTCGGAATGCCGAGAAGACGCAATTCCAAAATCCTTCAAAAACCTTAAGAACATCAATGATTCTGGCCTCTTCGGGCCCTCCTGGAGGACCTCTTGGAGGCCTCTTGGGCCGTCTGGGAGGCCTCTTGGGGCCTGTTGGCGCGTCTGGGGCCGTCTTGGACTCTCGTGGGCCGTCTTGGAGGCCGTCTTGGACCATCTTGGGCGGACTTGGAGGCCATCTTGGAGACCATCTTGGAGGCCATCTTGGGCCATCTTGGCCATCTTGGAGGCCATCTTGGAGCCGTCTTGGGCAGAAAAGTAGGGAATTGAGGTCCTTGGAAAAATTCCCGGGACCCCGGCGGGACGCGCCGGAGCCCCAGGGGGAGTCCGCCGCCCTCTTTTGCTTTAGCAAAGGGGTGCCTGGCGTGCTGGACCCTCTCGGTTTTGGTTTTGGTTCTTTTTCCAAAAGAACTCCCTAAAGGGATGGCTCGAAGCTGGCCTAAGCTGGCTCGAAGCTGGCCTAAAAGGGCCCACGAGGCCCCCAAGAGGGCCTCCAGGAAGGCCAGAAGAGGCCAAAAACATTGATTGTCCTTAGGTTTTTTCACGGATTTGAGATTTCCTTCTTGGGGACTTCCGACGGCCCGAGACGGCCCAAGAGCCCCCAAAGATCGCCGAAAGATCGCCCAAGAGGCCACCAAGACGGCCAAGATGACCTTCAAGACGCCCACGTGTTCCCCGAAGGCTTTCCAAACCGATTCGGGGAACACTCCAAGATGGCCTCCAAGATTGCCAAGATGGCCGAAGATGGCCTCCAAGATTGGCCAAGATGGCCTCCAAGTCCGCCCAAGATGGTCCAAGACGGCCTCCAAGACGGCCCAACAGAGTCCAAGACAGCCCAAGACGGCCCAAGAGGCCCCCCAGAGGCCTCCCAGACGGCCCAAGAGGCCTCCAAGAGGTCCTCCAGGAGGGCCCGACGAGGCCAAAATCATTGATGTTCCTAAGGTTTTTGAAGGATTTTGGAATTGCTTCTTCTCGGCATTCCGACGGCTCAAGACGGCCCAAGAGGCCCCCAAGATCGCCCAAGAGGCCCCCAAGAGGGCCCCATGACGGCCCAAGTGGCCTCCAGGATGGCCCCAAGAGGGCCCCAAGACGGCCCAAGAGGCCTCCAACACGCCCAAGATGGCCTTCAAGACGCCCAAGATGGCCTCCAAGACGGCCCCGAACCGCCCCAAGAGGGTCCCCCGTTGGCCCAGAAAGGTCACAAGACGGCTCCCGACGGCGTCAGACGTGCCAGGAACCTGCCAAGATGGCCGAAGTTGGCTCGAAGCTGGCCCAAGACGGCCCACGAGGCCCCCAAGAGGGCCTCCAGGAAGGCCAGAAGATGCCACAAACATTGATGTTCCTAAGGTTTTTGAAGGATTTTGTAATTTGCTTCTTCTCGGCATCCCGACGGCTCAAGACGGCCCAAGAGCCCCCAAAGATCGCCGAAAGATCGCCCAAGAGGCCTCCAAGACGGCCAAGATGACCTTCAAGATGCCCACGTGTTCCCCGAAGGCTTTCCAAACCGATTCGGGGAACACATGGTCCGATGGCTTGGCAGGTCTGGCCTCAACGTTCGGCCACATGGGCGCTTCTGAAAAGGCAGGGGGCGGCGGTGATTCGCCGTAGGCGTCTTCGATCAAGCGAAACGCCTGGCCCGCCCGATCGAAACGTCAGGTGGTGCGACAGAGAGGACTTGACTAGAAAGAAATCGGATGGATTAAGAAGAGAAACCAGCGGCCCCGAAAATGCGCGGTGACCACGCCGTGTGGTGTGTCCGTTGGCATTCGGGGTCGCTGGCGATTGGGAGTGGCACCCTGGGTCCCAGAACCGTGCGGTGGCGGAGCGTGCGGTGAGGTCTTGAGGGATTCCTAGGTCGCCGCACGGTCTGTCGCCACAGCGCTTCGAGATCCCCAAGAGCACCGATGAAGGGGGGAGCAGGAGAATGAAGCCTCGATCGCCGGCTGTCCTGCGCTCGCTGGCACCACCGCGTCCGCAGCCTCCCCGGAGAGCCGCAGCTGCATGGTCTCCGCAGTGCGCAGCGGCGGCCACCCAGGGAGAACCGCTCCCCAAACCCAAACTGGCTGCGGACGCACACGGGGAGGGCCCAGATCTGAGGTGCAACGATAGGGGGGGGTAGGCACTGGGGGGGATGCATCGACCTGGAATCGGCGATACCTCGCCGATAGATCGGCGATAGTCCCCGGATAGTGAACCCGCACCCTCCTGGGCGGGTGGGGGCTCTCAGACCCCTATCGGCGATCAATGGGCGCCTGGGGGTCGATGCATCCCCCCCTGTGCCTATCCCCCCCCTAGCGTTGCCCCTGAAGATCTTCAGGCGCGAAATTCGAGAAACAAGAACATTGAGAACGGACGTTTGGGAACCGTTTGGGGGGCAGCTTCGGCCTCTGCCCTAGCGGGCCCCAGTCCTATACAGAAACAGCTTGCGCCGAGAAGAAGCAGGTCCCAGGAACGGGACCCGTGGCTCCGGGAACGACCACATCGTGGAGGAACCATGCCATTGGAGGTCCAGGAGCGCAGTGCTGCATGGAGCACACAAACACACAGGGACGACCTCGCCATATCCTGAAGTGCTGGATCGAGTGGCACATACGCAGCTCGGAATGGAGTGGGCTCGAACGACGCGAACCGATACAAGACTGCATGTGGGAGACCCACAATACAACGCTCCCTGCGGGAGACGGCACACTTGCGAGAAACAATGCAATGCTCCCTGCGGGAGCAAGAGAAGCGACAGGGGCAACGGCGGAGAGTGGATAGCCACGACAATACAATAACACAATACCAGACTCTCTGCGGAAGGCACTGCAATACTAGCAAATGATATTCCAAAAGCACGGCTGCTAAAAATGGGCTCCGGAAACGCGCCCAAAACAGAACGGTTTGGGATTTCCCAAGTGAGGCAAAACTCAACCACTCCCAGAAGGGGGGTCACCCCCTTTTCCAAAATACGCGTAAAGATTTACCCAAAATGGACGCGTTCGCCGGTTTGTCCGGAAACATCCCGCAAAAAATATGACCCGCGGCCCACGGCACCCCCGCCCCAAAATGGTTCATTTTGGCGGCGCATTTGTTGCAGCCGCGCCCCCAGGAATATAGCAGGAGGCTACCCAGCCGATCCCACCAACAGCTTGCGACCCCAGCCGACCCCGACCCCAGCAGGCCCAGATCCCATCCAATCCCGACCCTGGTCGACTCTGGCCCCCATTGACCCCGACTCCAGCTGGCCGAGACCCAGCCGAGCCAAACTCGGGTCGGGCGAAAGGGGGGGATAGCAAAGGGGGGGTTTGAGAATCAGCTCACGTAGCTGATTTTCCCGGCGCCTCCCGGCGCCGGTAGGCGCCCATGTATCGAGGAATGGGCCCCTCGGCGAGGCCGAAACCAGCTGCATGCAGCAAATTCCGTAACCCCCCCTTTCCCAATCCCCCCCTTTCGCCCGGCCCGACAAACTTCGGCCGAACCCGACCCCAGCCGATCCAGGCCCGAGCCGATCCACATCAACCCGGCCGTTCTGGCGCCCTCCGCTTCCGAGCCCCGCCGATCCCGATACACAGGCCCCGTCGGGCCCAGACACCAGCCGAGCCAGGCCAGGGCCGAGCCCGAGCCCACCCGGAGCCCAGACCCCCTGGCCGATCCCGCCCGCAGATCTCCCTGGAGCCGAGCCTGGCCCTGGCCGACCCTGGACCATGGCCGATCCCGCTCGCGGCCGATCCCCAGACATGCGACGTCCCGATTTCTTCAATACGGGGTCCCTGGAAGTCCCGACCCTTTCCCTGGGGCCGGCGTTTCATCCCGCGTCGTTTTTTTGACGGTCCCGAGGGCCGGCGGAGGCCCCCCGAGGCCCAAACTAGCTAAAAACGCGATCATGTCTGGTTCTGGAGCCGAGCGGATCCCGACAGCGACAGGCCCCGACGCCACCCGATCCCGATACCGGCCGACCCCGAGCCCGACCGATGGCCGCCGGCCGGCGCGGCCGGCCGGGGGAAGGGGCTCCGTGCACAGGGACCGCCGGCAACCCCCTGCGAGGGGAGGGGCAGTGGCAGTGGCAGTGCGCCCGTCGGGCGACAGCACGGTGCAAACGGGGGGATCCCGACCCGCATGCTGCTAGGAGAGGAAGGAGAACGACGCACATGCACCGCTTCTGGCCAGGCCCATCCTGAGCCACGGATCGGTGCATGCGCTCTCCTGCCTTGGCCATGGAGGCACATACACAGATCCTGAGCCCAAGATGGGCCTGGCCAGCATCGGTATACGGCAGGTTCGCGTCGTGTCGACCCCGGCGTTGGCTGCTGTCACCGCGGGCATCGTTCAACCTTGAACGATCGGCCGCTTCCGCAACGTCCGATCGTTCAACATCGACCGACTCTGGGCCGACGCCGGCGTTCAACGTTGAACGCCGGCGGCGGGGTCGCCGCCGGTCGACACGAGACGAACCAACCGTATGTGCATCGTTCTCCTCGCCCGCGGGCGCCCTGGGCCCAGCCCGCGCGCTCAGGGAGTGGATGGGCCCGTGTAACCCTTTAAGCCTAGAAGGAGCGTGCCGCACCCCTCACGAGTACTGCGCCCCACGCCGACGAGGAGAGGAGAGGAGAGGAGAGGAGAGGAGAGGAGAGGAGAGGAGAGGAGAGGAGAGGAGAGGAGAGGAGAGGAGAGGAGAGGGAGAAGGGGAGAAGGGGAGAAGGGGAGGGGGGAGAAGGGGAGAGAGAGAGAGAGGAGAGGGGAGAGGGGAGAGGGGAGAGGGGAGAGGGGAGAGGGGAGAGGGGAGAGGGGAGAGAAGAGAGGAGAGAGGAGAGAGGAGAGGAGAAGAGAGGAGAGGAGAGGAGAGGAGAGCAGAGGAGAGGAGAGGAGAGAGGAGAGAGGAGAGAGGAGAGAGGAGAGAGAGGACGGAGGAGGCAAAATGGGAGAGGGAAAAAGGGGACAGAGAGCACAACGAACTGGCAGGAGAAGACGGGGTCCTGGTGGAAGCGGGCGCTGGACCCCGGGGAGCTCCACGGGACCTGTCTTTCCCCCGAGCCATCTTTGGCAACCCTGGGAGCACCCCTGAAGCCCCAGAGCAGCGAAAGAAACCTGCAGGAGCACTCTTCTCCAGGACCCCTTCTCCTCCACTCGGCATGAAAAAAACGGGGCCCTCGATCCACTTCTGGGCCCTGGGCTCCAAGCTGGCCCAAGACTCCTGGGTCCTAGATTACAGGAGGGCCCAAGACTCCCTCCTGAGCCCCAGGCTCCAGGACCAACTTTTCGCCCTCAGCCGTTTTCCAGGGGCTTCTTCCAGGACCAACGTTTCGCCCTCAGCCGTTTTCCGACGGCCCCTTTGAAAATACGGCTACGGCTACTCTGAAGGGGAACTGAGACACACAAATAAATACACACAAATAAAAATATCCCCTATATTTCCCCATATTTTCTGGGTTTTTGTCTTCCCCCTCACTTCCCATATTTTCCCATATTTTCTGGGAATCGCCGATTAATTGTGTCTGTGTGTTTCTTTCCCTCCTGATACTCCCCGGGCCTCTCCTGGGGTGCGTTCTGACCAAAATGTCGAGGCGACTCCAGCCGTGGCGGCGGCGGCCTCCCAGCAGGCCCAGAGGGAGGGAAACGAGTGCAGGGTGGCGAAATCGGTACCTGTTCCTCCTCGGAGTCCCGGGGCACGTGGTGAGCGAGCAACGACATATGTACATGTACGCCCTCCGCGATCTTGAGTGCACGAACGTCCTCGTTCAAATGCCCTCCAGGGGAAGCTAACCGCGTACGTGTACATATGTTGCTGGCCTCTGATGTGGGGGGCCTCTCGGGCCCCAGTACGGCAGAAAGCGTACAGAACCCGCTTGCCTCATGGCAAAGTCCGTGCGGAACGGCGGCGGCGGAGCGCCTCGCTGTGCCGCCTCGGCAGCGGGCTGGTCCGCACCGCGCCGCGCGGGAGTGGGGGGCAACGTCACGGGGGGGGGACGGCTCCGGGGGGAGGGAGCATCGGCCTGAAGCGGTACGCGACATGGCACAGCGACCATCGCGGTGGCGTACGCGGGCCGCCAGGGCGGCACGCTTTCTTGGAAACGAGGGCGCTTACGCGCGACCTTACGGCTCACGCGCGAGCGTCGGTGAAGACAACCCCGTCTTTCTTCCGTCGCTCACCTGGGAGAGGCGGTGCATCGTCGACGGGCTCTCGATAGCGAAGCCGCACAGTCCTGGGCGGGGCGGGCCATCAGGCCCCCTATCGGCGATCGACAGGCGATTGGGGGTCGTCGATGCTTTCCCCCTGAGCCCATCCGTGTCCACGGTGGCTTTCGGGCCATAGCTCGGGCCTCCAGAGCGCTCTCAGCGAGGTGCAGCCGCTGGAGAGCACCCCGAGGCTGGAAAGACGCCGAGAACCGACGAAAACACCCGAATCCTCAAACATCCAACCTCGTCCCCCCCTGAGCCTATCGGAGAAACCAAATGGTATCGATACCGCTGCTCCCCGGACCTCTCCCAGGGTGCGTTCTGACCAGAATTTCGAGGCGAATCCAGCGGTGGTGACGAGGGCCTCCCAGGAGGCTCAAGACGGCGAAAACGAGGCAAGGGTAGCGTGATGGATACAGATTCCTCCTCGTGGGTCCGAAAACAAACGACACCACCCCACCTACGGCCCCAGGGGGCTTGGCGTCTTCCAGCAAATCTGGCGTGGGTTTCCGCGTGGTATACGCTACGGCGCCCGATGGGCCGTAGCGCCACATGGAGGGCCGTGGGTGGGGTGGTGTCGTTTGTTTATTGGTCGACCTCTGACTATCCTACGTCGGGCATGTCCTCCTGCAGGCGGATTTTGGACGAAAAATCAAACATGGTTCAAAATACCCCAACATGGAAAAACAGTCAAAAAGTCATCCCCTGACTATTTTGTTGACCATTTCTGAATCGTCCTCCTGTGGAGGGACGGGCCCGACTCAAGACTCCCCCCGAACGTTGCCCCCGAGGCTGGGTTCGCGCGAGAGCGAAGCTGGCTGCGCCGGGTCGAGCGGCACGGCGGCGGCCCCCCAGGTCCCCCAGGTCGATGCACGGCGCGGAGGCCCAACCCCAGGTCGGGCGCTGGCGTCCCGATGGGGGGGTCTTGAAGAACGGTGCGGTGGCAGACAGACCATTCGGGAGAAAGGAAGCACACCACCACGGCCTGGAGGATGGAGGAACAGGCACCCATACCTTGACCTTCCCCTCGTTTCCCCGCTGTTCGGCGTCCTGGGAGGCCCTTGTTGCCACCGCCGGATTCGCCTCGAAGTCCTGGTCAGAACGCACCCCAGGAGAGAGCCGTGGAGTAGCGGTATTGGTACCTCGGCGTGACCCCCAGGTGCACACCCGTATCCACCATCATCATCATCATCATCATCATCATCATCATCATCATCATCATCATCATCATCATCATCAACATCAACATCAACATCATCATCATCATCATCATCATCATCATCATCATCATCATCATCATCATCATCATCAGCATCGTCATCATCGTCATCATCATCAGCATCATCAGCATCATCATCATCATCAGCAGCACCAGCATCATCATCAGCCTCATCAGCATCCGCATCAGCATCAGCATCAGCATCGTCATCATCATCATCATGAGCAACATCGTCAGCAGCATCATCATCATCATCATCATCATCATCATCATCATGATCATCATCATCATCATCATCATCAGCATCATCATCATCATTATCATCATCACCATCATCATGAACATCACCAGTATCATCATCATTATTATCATCATCAGCATCATCATCAGCAGCAGAAGCAACATCATCATCATCTGCACCAGGAACAGCATGTGCATCAGCATCCTCATCAAGATCCCTATCATCATCATCATCAGCATCATCAGCATCATCATCGTCAGTAGCAAAATCATCATCATCAACAACCAAATCATCGTCATCAGTATCAGCATGATCACCATTATCAGCATGAGTATCATGATCATCAGCATCAGCAGCAGCAGCATAATCAGAATCAGCATCATCAGCATCATCGGCATCCTCATCCTCATCATCATCAGCAGCAACCTCGTCATGATCATCACTACAGCATCATCACCATCCTCATCAACATCACCATCAACGTCATCATCAGCATCATCCTCATCATCATCATCATCATCACCATCATCACCATCACCATCACCATCACCATCACCATCATCATCATCATCATCATCATCATCATCATCATCATCATCATCATCATCATCATCATCCCCCTCCACCTCCCCCCTCACCTCCCCCTCCTACTCCGAATCCTCCTCCTCCTCCGCCTTTTCCTTCTCCTCCTCCTCCTCCTCCCTCTCCTCCTCCTCCTCCTCCTCCTCCTCCTCCTCTCCACCGCCCTCCCCATGTCCCGAACCTGTGGCAGGGTCATCAGCTCGTTGTCGTTGTCGTCGTTGTCTTCGTCGTGATCGTCGTTATCGTCCGTCTGGGTCGGCGGCACTGGCCGTAAGGCCTTCACAATAAGGTCTGCGCTTGAGTCCCGCGCTTTGCGACCAGAACTTTGACATTGTGCAATACCTACACTGATGGAGAGCATACCATGTTAATAACGGGGATGTCACCGCACACTTCATCAGACAGTGTCATTGCAACTCGTTGCGTTTCCTTTTACCTAGAAGGATGGAGGATTGATCTTTTACGACACGGGGCGTCGCCTCGGTGTAAGGCCCACCGGGCGTTCGTCATTCAGGGGGCGCGCCCAGCAGTGGAAAGGAGTACATTAATGTGAGCTTTGCTTTTCCTCGACGCCAGGTGGGCGCTCTGACGCCATTCCAATAGCCGTTTGCCCGGCAGCCTGGAACGGAAAAGCAAGAGGCCGACTTGGCGTCAGTTCCAAGCTCGGCGACTCGACAACTCCGAGACCTCTGTGCAGATCCGCAGGGAAGGAAACAAAGGGGGGGGCGCTTGAGCCAACAAGGTCACGGAGAGAGACGAGACTCCGCGACCCCAAGGCGGCCATTCCCCGAAGACTTCAAACGAATAGCATCGAAATAAACACTTGGCATGTGAGTTTTGCTTTACCTCGAGGCCACGTGGGCGCTTAGACGCCATTCCAGTAGCCGTTTGCCCGGCAGCCGGGAACGGAAAAGCAAGAGGCCGACTCGGGGTCAGTTCCAAGCTCGGCGACTCGACAACTCCGAATTTTGTCCAAAGAACACACTGGCCGCACGCCTTGAAATATTCAGCCGAATGGTTGGGATAACGGGCGGAAGATTGTGTCAGCGAAGCTCTGAACGAAGGCAGCGCACAGACGAGGCGGGTACAGCTCCGAGAGCTTACTGTACTTGACGCAACAAGGGCGGCTGCCAATTATTTCGACGCGTCGCTTGCCAGAGAATGAGCAGTCGCCCCGGCCGCAGCAGGTTTTTCCGAGATGGCTGCACGAAAGGTGGGCGCAAAGAAACCTGGTGCGCTTGCGCCAAAGAGTTCCCCAGGCGCAGTAGGTCAGTGACACAAACATCGACGCCCTGGGTCTTAGCAAGGTCCTCGAACGCTCGTACATTCCACAGAAGACTGGTGTGAGGGTTCTCGAAAACACAAGGGATGCCCAACCTTCTGCAGAGGTCGAGAAGACTGGAGGCAACTGTACACAGGCGGTTGGCTATGTGGACGACGCGCTGGTCTGATGGAGAGAGGGAGGGGAGGCCGAGAGGGAAGGCCCAGGACCGAACTGGCGAGAAGAGGCACCGGAGGGCCGAAAAGGAGGAGCAGGGAGGAGCCAGCCAGACAGCAGCGATCAGACCAGCGCGCGCCCAGCCTCGAATCTTTCGAAGAAGAATCTCAGTCAGGAGATCGAAGTGCGCACCATGTCGAATGCCGCCCTCAACTATCTCAATGTGTTTCAGGCACGAGCGGCGCCACGCGCGAGAAAAGTTGCCTGATCTTGAGAAAAGTTCGAGAGCAACCAGGATTCCACTCAGCGACGCGCGGCGGATGGCAGCCTCAAGATCCTGGACCCGATGCTGGCCGCAGCTGCATGGGCGCGCCGTTGCGCGGCCTCTGCCACACGCGGCAGCTGCGCGGGCGGCAGGCCGCTCCGCTCGCACCGTCACGCGCTGCTGTCCGACGCCCAACGCTCCCGCTACTGGATCTTGGCGAGCGGATGGGCGCGGGTGGCCAACTCGTGGATGGCCCCCCCGCGGCGCTGTCACAGCGTGGGCTGTCCCAGAGCGCCGAGGACCATGTCGACCGCGGCCAGGGTGAACAGGACGGCCCAGGTCGCGTACTTCAGGTCAGGCAGCGGCTGCGTGCCGCCGCGGTCGGCTCGGAGGCAGGTCAAGAGCCCGTCCACCCCCGGGAACTCTGGGTAGTCGAGGCTCAGCGACTCGTTGAACTCGTCTGACTTGGGTGGGGCGCGGTTCTCTCCGACGCGCGCAGCAGCCAGGTCCACAGCGAGAGAGCCCGCGGGCCGCCGCGCGACGGCGGGGCGGCGCCCGTCACCCGCGGGCGGCGGAGGAGCCCGGACGGCCGGGTGTAGGACACGAAGCACAGGAGCGTCGCCATCGGGTCCTGCTGGCAGTACGTCAGGGCCGCCATCAGGAAGGACCCCACGAAGTTCGGGAAGCCAACGAAGAACTGCTCGTTGGGGTGGGATCTCACCGCCGGGTCGAGCTGCCATGTACTGTTGATCGCCAGGCCCGTCGTCACGTACCTCTGATAGAACAGGCTCATGATGCGTCTGCACTGGGCCTCCTGGGGCTTCCTCACTGTGCGCTTCATGGGCACGGTCGGGCCGCGCTCGTCGGTCGCGGGCCCCTCGCGGTGGCCCCTGCGGCGCCGATCTGCTCGATCGGCTCGCAGGTCTGCCTCGATCACGCAGGAGGGCCGCAGCTGACTCGCCGCCGGCCGATGGCGGAGGCTCCGCCGGGTCGAGGCGGCCGGCCCAGGCCGGGCCGAGGACGAGCGCGTCCGCCGGGCCGGCGTCGCCGCCGAAGGCCCGCCCGAGCCGCGCGGCGAAGAACGCGCGGACACGGCGGCCCCGCTGGCCGCAAGCGTCTCCGCCCCCCCGAGCAGGGCGCGGCCCTGTCAGAGAGCCCGGCCGCGGATCGGCATCCCCGGGCCGGGGCGAGGCCTCAGCCCAATCCCCCTTCTTGCATCTTGAGCCGCGATCAGCAGGATTACGTTCTGACGGGACCCAGCGCCAGCGAGACGCCATGCCGAAAGCCAGGTTCAGGGTGGGCATCTGCCGACAAACGCTCATCAGCTTCGAGGATGATCGCCCCTTGGGCACGGGAAGGATGCTGGCCATGGCGTCGCCCAAGAACAGATGGCGCTTCCCGAAGTTGCTCAAGGCCCTCGTTTTGTGGGGGTGGGCCAAGACCATGGCGCGGCCCTCGAGGGTGACCTGGGCCTCCGAGAGGGCACACCTCTTAGCCAGGACGCGGCGCCATTCCCCATCCCAAACGTCAGAGCTGACGTCGGGGAAGTCCAGGGAGCCGGGCAGCTGAGCGGGGGCCGAGGGGACCTCCGGGACTGAGCCGTCGATGGCGAAACCTCCAAGAGTAGCCTTCGAAAGAGCATGATCCCGAGGGCGATGGCCCACTTCATCTTGCCGAGAAAACCTCCACCTCTCGTTGAACAGACCGAGCGACTTGACGGTGTCGAGCGGCACCCTCTGCTGCGCAAAACAGCCTTCCCATGATGGCGCGTCGACGGCCAGGGCGTCTTCGGACCAGGCCGCCCCGAGATCCCGAGAAGCGAGAAGTATAAGCCGAGCAGCCCAGCCGAGATCACGCCGAACAGAGCCCCGCAACCAGCGGCGATGGGGCCCAGCGGCAGCTGCGAAGGAATAACACGCAGAGAACGCACTCAACAATTCACGGCGCAGAAGAGCTCGAGTAGTATAATGAGGCATAACAGTGGTCATCGTGTCGCTTCTAGCGCACCCCATCGGCAAAATTCGCTGGATTGCTAAACGGATCTCCCAAGCAATGCGGGGGCTCAGCCCGACCGAGGCGCTCTCCTCAGCAAAGGTCCACCCCAGCGTAGTGGCGCCAGGGCCTGCCTCCACGGGGCGGGTTGGAAGGTCCACTTTTCCCAGCTCCTGCTGCGCCCCCTCTGCCACGGATCTGGCCTCTCGGTCCTTCCCGAAGGCGAACAAGTAATCCACGCACTCGGCGCGAGCGAAAGGCGCCAAGCAGGGGGGGGGGGTCAACGACGGCGTTCTTTTCGGCGACGCCGGGAACGAGGCGGGCCCGATGCCCCAGCACCTGCTGGCAGGCCCAGAGAGAAAGCTCCCGGCCCATCGGGGCCACCTTCAGGACTGGATAAAGGTATTGGCCCAGTCTGGCGGCTCGACCTTGGGCCGACGAGACGTTCGCCAGGTCGGCTCGGACTCGAGGAAGGGCGAACATCTCTCGGAGGGTTTCTGGCAACTGCGCGCTATAGAAGGCGTTTACGACATCGACCGAGCCGACCTGGACTGGCGCGGCGCTGTCAACCTCGACGGTGGAAAATGCGGCCCTCGAGGCCGGCGACACAGGGTCACTGTCGCCAAAGTGGCACGATGGAAGTCGCCAATCAACTATCGAGCGAAGGTCACCTGATTTCTTATATACAAAGAACAGGCCGCACGAGACCTCACCCGTCAAGCGCCACTCGATCAGGTCGGAGTCGGCCATCCGTCGCAGCAACTCCGCGCACAGGGCCAGCGACCGCTTGAGGGCGGGATCGGAGTGAGGTCGAGCGGGCCCATGAAGTCTAGCGTTCTCCCTGCCAATGGATGCAGGAAAGCGCAGATGAATTAACCACTCAGCAATCTCTTTGCCCCGATCACCTGCCAAGTGGTCGAGTGATCGCGAAGTCGATCCAGCAGCCGGCAAGTCGATCAGGTGGACGGTGTCCATGCTGAGGGGAGCGATCACGGCGCCCTCGCCGCAAGCACTCTTCGCCCGGAGCACTCGAAGGGCTCCTGGGTCACTCATTTCGTCCGGCGGCGGGCCCATGGCCAAGACGGACTGGCGTGTCAAGTTGAGACTGGCCTGCTGGCTTGCCGAAGGGCCTCTGTTCGACCGCGGACAACACGAGCTAAGATACATGTCGTTCAGCGCGCCGGCGATCGCATCGCACACTAAATCGACGTGATTGGTGCGCTGAAGCCGGCGACGAGTAGACCTGCCCAGATGTGTAGCGGCTCCACAGAAGCCTCGGTCCAACTGGTGGGGGACGAGGAAGATGCAACAGGTTTCGCTGCCGCTCGTCGGCCCAAGAAAAGTGGCTGTGAGCGCGCCAGGCCAGGAGGCCCTCCCTGAACGTGCTCGTGCCGGGGCTGGCTGGGAGGTCTCTCCAGCCCCGGCGGGGCGCGCATCACCCCTGATCCTGATTGTCCTTCTTGACAGGCTTGACCAGTTTCGCCCTCTCCTCGCGGTCCCCGCGGACATGCTCGAGGATGGCGACGTTGCGCTCGATCTCCGAGGCCACGAGGGCGAGCAACTCGGGGCTGACCATGGCCATGACTGATCCCCTCGCCACGTGCGAGACAATGGCCGACTCGTCGAAGACCGCGGGCTGGAGGGACGCCGGGCCGCCGGCCTTGCCCTTGCCCTTGGCCCCCGGTTCGCGCGTGGCCAAGTACTCCATGTGGTGCACGCACTCCACTAGCAGCGCCCTGCGGAGGGGCAGCTCGAAGAAACCACTGTTACCGACGTCGATCATATCATAGCTGACGCCCTCGTCCAGGCATCTCTTCGTCGCGCGGTGGGCGTCGACGTACCAGTCGTCGGCCCGCAAACCGAACGTCATGATCAGAGGCTGGACGTGCTCGAGCGGGCCCCCCTGGCACCTGAAGAGCCGCTCGCCGCACCACTTCGCCATCCTGAGCGCCGGCACATGCCAGTCGGGGAAAGGCGACTGGCGGACCTCCACGCCCGAAGGGGCGAAACGTCCACGATCTCGGCCCTTGGCGGCGACGAGCATCGCCCTGCTGAGCCTGAGGTCGTGGCGGCCCTCCATCGTCTTATACCCCTCGACCAGCGGCGCCTGGAGATCCCAGACCAAGGCCGAAACGCCAAAGGGAGTGGTAGAGATGCCGACGTTACCCTGCACGATGTCCGCCGCCGCCAGGCCGACGGGTGTGCCCCCGGGGGCGAAGGGGGTCGACTCCACGGTCATCCGCTGCGCCCTCGCCGAGATCCCGTCCAGCAGCACGAAGTATACGTCGGAGTCTGGGGTCGCCCACTCGACCTGGTAATCATTGAGTGGTGTCGCACCCGCCGGCTGCGAGTGGCCCAAGACTTGTCGCTGCTGCCCCACGTGGTCCCCGAAGATCAGGATCCACCCCCAGGGCTGTACGACCCCTGACGCCATGCTGGCGCTCGAACGCGACGCACGCCACGCCGAAGAACCCGTTCGCGATGAGGCCGCTGCAGGTCGTGACGAAGACGGCGGCGTCGACGACGTAGTCGCAAAGCCACTTGAACGCCGGGTCAACTGACTCAGCAGGCGACTCGATCGAGGGGCACGGCTTAGCTCAGGGAATCTCGTCGCGGTCGGTCCTGGCGATCCGGGGCACGCTGGGCAGCTCGGCGCAGCGGGGCTCGTGAGCTAGCAGGAGTATGGCGGGCACTCTGGACTCGACGGAGCTTCGGGCAAAGGCTGAGGTGTGAGACGGTGCCCGCTCCCAACCACTCGGTCACACGGTTCGACACTGAACCGTGCGTGCGCTTGAGCCAACAAGGTCACGGAGAGAGAGAGAGAGAGAGACGAGACTCCGCGACCCCAAGGCGGCCTCCTCCTCAAAAATGGGCGGCGCACACGCCTACTCTTAATCTACGTAGAGGTAGATAGCAATATGATACCCACATACACTATGTAGGGAATTTGAGCATTAGCAGGCGCACCTGTCCCAGGGAGTGCATCCCAGAGGCGATTGTTTGTCGGCGGCGGCGTCAAACATTGGATGGCCGATTCGTGTGGGGAATCTTCCAGGGTCTGATAACCAGGCCCACCCCTCACGCAGATCGCGACGTCACAGTCCAATAGCACATTGTTGGTTCCGCGTTGTTGCTGGAGAGATTCACAAAACCATGGGTCTTCAAATACGTTGCACGATATGTTTACAAATTGTTGTGTATCAAGTGTCCCAGGCACATTGCACAAACAATGATCTGACTTGTGTGTTGTCACTTTCCGTGCCCGCAGGGATACTCCTCGACATTTCGACATTTCGCCTAATCGCATGCTGGGGCAAACCCGTCGCTGACCCCCGTTGTCAACCACAATCGCAGGGTATAAAATCCCACCTGCGCAAAACTCATCGCACGGTGTGGCAACCCCATCAGCGCTCGACTGAGCCTCCCGCGTCTTGGGACACATCCGAAATGTCGTGGAACTGGGTTCATCAGGTGGCTCACAGCACGTAGCTTCACAATCGACGGCACGGGTACTCATGGGCGTAACCTACCTTGCTGCCCCTAGGAGTGCGTATCACCATCGTGTCTGTCTGACCGCGAGCCGTGGCAAACCCACCGCGCTCGACTGCGCCCCCGCTGCTGCAAATCAGTATGAACACCTGACGACGTCATTCCAGACTGACCCGCAAGGGTGCCCATGGGCCCATGGGCATGGTTATCTCCCCACTGCTCGTGCTCACTTGTCATGGTCATGGTCATGGTCATGGGGTTATCTCCCCACTGCTCGTGCTCCCCACTTGTCGTTATCTCCCCACTGCTCGTCCTCACTGACCCGCAAGGGTGCCCATGGTGCCCATGGGCCCATGGGCATGGTCATCCTGCACTTTTGTGCGAGCCCAGGTCGGACAAACCAGCACTCTGCGACTCTGCGCGCTGATCGGTCCCCGACTTGTTCACCCGCGGTCATACACGTCGGTCGGAAGAGGTAGGTAAAAGCATGAACTAGGAAGGCGGATAAAGCAGGCTGGGTTCAGGCCCTCCCAAAGAAAAACAAGACACGGCAACCGCAGATCGATTTTGGAAGCAGGAAGGCGCTTGAAGTAGACTGGGAGATGGGAATCCAGAAATACCGACTTTCAACGACCGGCGCGTGCTGTCCCTCTCCCCTGCCCATCCTGCCGCGGAGGTGTCCAAATAGAGGCCTCCTAGATGGGGTCCGAGCAGATGGAGTCGGAGGATTGCGCCGCATCGCCCATGCATCGCCAATGCATCGGCGATGAATCCGCGATACATCCGCGACGACGGCGATGCATCGGCGCCATCGGCGTGGAGAAAATTGGGCTCCACATCGAGCCGCATCGCCGATGCATCGGCAATGCGGCGCACTCCTCCGACCCAATCTACTCGGACCCCATCTATAGAGGAAGAAAAGAACGCCATACACATGAACTGTTGGCGCTCCGCGCGGACTTCTTGGATCTGCGCCGGACCCCCCCCCCTGGCGCGCGGAGCGCGCCATGGGCGGCGCCGGAGGCGCCGCTGGGGAGGGTCCAGCGCGGATGCAAGAAATCCGCGCCGAGCGCCAATTTTTTTTGTGTTTGTGGCGTTTATTCTTCTTCGAATCTAGGAGGTTCGGCCAGAGGCCCCCGAAGGCCTCAGGCCCCCTTTCCTGGCTCGAGAATCGACGACGCCATGAGAGGCGCCAACGCGGCACGGTGCACACGAGTCGTCCGCGGAATCTACTCGGACCCCATGCAGGAGGCCTACACCAGAGGCCCCCGAAGGTCCCAGGCCCCCAGGAGGCCCCCTGGGGGTCCGCAGAGGCCCATCCACTGCCCAGCTGCTCCTTCCGCGCGGGGCCGTGGCCACGCGGCCCGGGAGGCCCGCGCGCTGCCCCTCCTGCCGCCACCCCGGCCCCTCCTCCTCCTCCTCCTCCTCCTCCTCCTTCCTCCTCCTCCTCCTCTTCCTCTCCCTCCTCTTCCCTCCTCCTCCTCCTCCTCCTCCTCCTCCTCCTCCTCCTCCTCCTCCTCCTCCTCCTCTTCTAATCCTCCTCCCCCTCCTCCTCCTCCTCCACCTCCTCCTCCTCCTTCTCTAATCCTCCTCCTCCTCCTCTCCTTCTCCTCCTCCTCCTCCTCCTCCTCCTCCTCCTCCTCCTCCTCCTCTCTGCCCCTCCTGCCGCCCCCCCCCCAGCGGCGGCGGCACCCCCGACGCGCTGCCGGGCGTCGTCGTCGTCGTCGTCGCCGTCGTCGTCGACAACGTCGTCGTCGTCGTCGCCGTCGTCGTCGACAATGTCGTCGTCGTCGTCGTCGTCGTCGTCGTCGTCGTCGTCGTCGTCGTCGTCGTCGTCGTTGGGGGGGGGGCGGCTGGCGGCGGGCACCCCCGTTGCCCTTCATGGCGCTCGCCGCCCCCCGGCCAGCGCGGCCTGCGGCGGGGAGGCCCGCGGGGGGGGGGAGGGGCGAGGCGAGGCGAGGCGAGCGCGCGATGTCGGTCTGGCGGGGCCGGCCCTACGATTAGGACGAAAAAGACGGTGTCAAAAAATACCCCCAATAATATCAAACAACCATACTACTTTTCTTACTATTTTCTAGTAACCCTACGGGCGCGGCGCGGGGGGAGCCGGGGCCCTCGGGAGACGCGTTGCGAGCAGGAGTCGGAGTCGCTGTCGTCGTCCGCACAGGAGGGCAGGGGGCGGCGTCGCTGCCGTCGTCCGCAGAGAGGACGGCGGAGGGGGGTGGAGAGGCACGGCGAGGTGAGCCGAAGCCAAGGCCGGGACAAAACCCGATCGAGACAGACCGGGAATATCTGAAACCCCGCGGTTCTGAAGGATCTCCGCTACCGCGCTGGAAACGGTTGGTGTGCGTCGGGCCCGTTCGCTTTTGTGCGAAGCAATAGCAGGGGACCCCCGGCGTATCGAGCCCAAGATTCCCTCATTTGTGTGACCTAGTCTCTGCACTTTTGGCCTTCCAGGCAGAGAATGACCCAAACACAAAACCCGCGATGTCAACACAATTGCGGTCCGCAGGTCCTGGATACTTTTACGTCAGCTGCGAGGCAGAACTGCACCAGCGAGCAGCGATCCAGAGCAACGGTACGCG